AAGGAAGGAAGGAAGGAAGGAAGGAAGGAAGGAAGGAAGGAAAAGAAGTACAGGCAACCCTTGACTTACAACAGTTCATTTAGTGACCATTCAAAGTTATAACGGCATTGAAAAAAGTGACTTATGACCATTTTTCAGACTTACGGCTGTTGTAACATCCCCCATGCTCACGTGATCCTTTCGCGATCTTCTGACAAGCAAAGTCAAGGTGGCAAAGCCAGATTCGCTTAACAACCGTGTGACTAAGTTAACAACTGCGGTGATTCCCTTAACGACCGTGGCGAGAAGTTTCGTGAAATGAGACCAAGTTCCCTTAACCAATGTTCTCGCTTAGCAACATCAGTTCCGGGCTCACTTGTGGCCGGAAGTCAAGGCTCACCTGTAAATACAGGAGATATAAATGCAGAATACAGAAAGAAAACGGAAGAAATACATTTGCCTGAACCGGCCAAGGGCTGGACTAGAAGACCTCCGATGCCCCTTCCCACTCTGTTATTCTCTTCAACCCAACCCCAGGCACAGGGGAAAGGGAAGGGGCAGAACCCGGTGCAAATTAAGACCTAGCGACACCACCCGCCCCAGCACACAAGGCCATAAAGAACAAGAATTCTGGCACCCCGCAGGCCTTATCGGTGCTGGATTCGAGAGGCGCCTGCTGAATTCTTCCTTCCTTCCTTTCTTCCTTCCTTCCTTCCTTCCATCCTTTCCTTCTTTCCTTTTCCTTCCTAACCATAAAACTAAAACGTTTACATGGCTAAGCAAAACGGTCATTGAGTGGATTTTTGCCCTCTCTTATGACCATTTCTTGCCACCATTGTTAAGTGAATCCCACGGGTGGGAAAAGCAAAATAACAAGCTGGCAGACCAAGCCGTCAACAGTAGGTCTTTTATTTTTTATAATAAACATTTATTCCAGAGAAGTAGAATTTTGCAAATGTTGATTTATTTTCTTCCGCATATAAGGTAATGCTCAACTTACAACTGTTTGTTTAGCGACTGCTCAAAGTTACGGCGGCACTGTAAAAAAAGTGACTTGGGTCCATTTTTCACACTTAACGACTGTTACAGCATCCCCCAGGGTCACATGATCAAAATTTGGATGCTGGGCTATTCGTTCACATTTATGACGGTTGCAATGCTCCAAGGGTCACATGATCTCCTTTGGTGGCCTTGATCACATGACCATGAGGATGCTGTCAGGGTCACAAGTGGTAGTAAGCCCCCTTTTTTTTCAGTTGCCATGATAACTTTGGCCACTAAACGAACCCGTCATAACCGAGGATTGCTTGTCCTTTCTATACTTTGCTTTCTGGGTCTCTTCTCGGCACCTGTAGAGCTGGAATTAGTACGGTTGTTGGTGGGGCAGAGGTCGAAAAAGTCAAGATGGCAGCTGCCACGGAGCACCTTAAGCCCCGCCCCTTGCTATGACATCACATGCGCACGCCCCCTCGGATTCAGCCTCTGGTTTTCACCCAGAATTAGCAAGTGGCATGTAAGAGCGCTGGACTTTTGAAACCTAGACACAATATTTTGGCTCAGGAGATAGATTGTGTTCCTCTTCCTGCACTTCTGCCAGGTTTTTAAAGTGAGCATCATAATCTGCAGAGCATAAATACTTTTGAGTTGGAGGCATGTTCAATTCCTCTACCGCATTTCTCTCTCTGTTGGCTTGGATCCCTTAAGCATCGGTCCAGAAATCCAGTGTTTTTTTCTGGGTAATCGATTTGGGGCGGTATGTACTGCACATTTTTGTCTACGTGTTTTGGAAGTTCAGTAAATACACATTTACTGTTGTTTAACTTCTGGCAATTCCTTTCATCTTTCGCCACTCGTTTTAGGGTGCATTTATCACCCCAAGTCATGACTTTGATGAATTTTTACCAAGCTTGGCTGTCCCTACGGGATGTGTCCGGACAGATAGTGTCATCTTGTTAATTTATTTGATTTGATTTTTTCCTTTTTGGGTCTAAGCCCCCCAGAGTTGTTGCAAAGACAGCCTCTCGATCCAAATAACAACAATTTTTGTTATCGGATTGAGAAAACTCCTTTCTGGTTCACGCATCCCTCTAATCCAGGGGTCCTCAAACTTGGCAACTTTAAGACCTGTGGACTTCAACTCCCAGAATTCTGGGAGTTGAAGTCCACAAGTCTTAAAATTGAATTCTGGGAGTTGAAGTCTACAAGTCTTAAAGTTGAATTCTGGGAGTTGAAGTCCACAAGTCTTAAAGTTACATTCTGGGAGTTGAAGTCTACAAGTCTTAAAGTTGACTTCTGGGATTTGAAGCCCACAAGTCTTAAAGTTGAATTCTGGGAGTTAAAGCCCACAAGTCTTAAAGTTGCAAGTTTGGAGACCTCTGAAGTAATCTATAAAATACCTTCTGCAGATTTCCCGCCTGTTGGAATTGTTGCTAGAATTGTTCAGAGTTCTAAGTTAGGGTGTCAGGAAGACAGCCAACGTTGTTTGCTTGTGGTCAGGACAAACTATGTTGATGAACCATCTTTGGCACCTCATTGGCCCGGAGGCCTCTGACTTTTGGCCGGTAGCCGTAATCTTAGTTCTGGTTACTGGGAGTTGTAAAAATAGTCCTTCACTTACAACAGTTCATTTAAATGACCGTTCAGAGTTACAACAGCATTGGAAAAAGTGATTGTTTTTCACCCTTACGACTCTTGACACTTGCCAACTGACTCGTATTTATGACGTTTGCATTGTCCCCTTTTGCGACCCTTCTGACCACAAAGTCAACCGGGAAGCCAGATTCACTGAACAACCATGTGACTAAAAATTGCAGTGATTCATTTCACGAAAGTGGCAAGCGAAGTGGTAAAATGGGGTGAATCTCACTTAAATATCTCGCTTAATAACCAAAAATGTTGGGCTCAGTTGTGGCGTAAGACAAGGACTGGCTAGATATCCAATTTGGAAGGACCAGTTGTTGTCTTTCCTAAGAAAGTTGAGAATGAGATGGGTTGGTTTGCGCTCTCCTGGTTATCCCAAGGGCCTTCCAACTTGGCCAGTTTAAGGCTTGTGGACTTCCGCTCCCAGAATTCCTGAGCTAACATGACTGGAAGGTGAATTCTGGGAGTTGAAGTCTACAAGTCTTCAAGCTGTCCAGTTGGAAGATCCCTGGGTTATCCTCTTGTAAGAGAAATTTGCATTCTGATTTAAAAAAAAGAGCCCAAGAGGGGAAATGAGAATAATGGGGTGATCCCACCGTTGCAG